AATACTCCTCATTTCATACTTCATCTGGCAAGAACCCCTGATGCACTACGCCATGGTAATCGAAGAAAACAGTTAGCATAACCTTGACATTTGATCGGATTTGGCGTGATTTTTTTGGTCTTAACTCTCCTGGGCTCTTCCATGGGGAGGATTGGACTTTGGCTTCGATGTTTTAACCATAAACCCATGATTTATTACCAGTTATGACCCTTTTGAACAAATCTGATCACGGTTGACAGCATTCAACAGTTCCTGAGTGATGCTCATACAACGGGTTTTTGATCAAAATTCAGCAATTTCGGAATAAAATTCGTTGCCACACGCTTCAGGCTTGATTTTTCCGAAAAAATAGCATGATATGAACTCACCGATATGCCGAGATAGTGATTCGCCGATTCTACATAACAAATTTTTTTAATTTTTCAACATTTGCATTGATTGTTGATTGTTGTTATTGATTTCCTAGATTCTATACTTCTGAAAAAATGTCAGTATGAACATTCAACATGTTTTCTCTTCCTCTTCTTTTTCGCCTTTCCCTTCTTTTTTATTTTTTTTTTCATTTTTTTCAAGTTTTGTTTACTTTTCTTCAAGGCTACAATTGAGATCAACAGTACCCTTTTGGTACATGTTGTTTCTAGCGTCATTTGTAGTTGTTTTATTAGTTTTCTAGATTGAATAATTATTGTATTTATATGCAATAAGGAATTACAAATAAATATTATTAATATTACTATATTTTTCTATAGCAGAAAGTCGCCAAACACGCAAAACACTTCTGACTTTCATACCTCTCATCAACGAACTTAACATGCCTAATAGCTGAAACTGTGAACATATGTTCGAGACAAGGGTATCAACATAAAAAAGTTGAAAAATCGCTAATCGAATGTACTTAGCTCACAAAATTTGAACATTTGCCTCATTTTGTTGAACTGACCTCGTTATAAAAGGTTTCAACTTATTTGGCAAAGAAACGTTTCGGCTTTCCACTTCTCCATCTTTTCAAAATGAACTGTTTGCAAAGTTGTAGTTTTTCACATTTTGTATGAAGATGCAGAAGAAGAAAGCCAAAACTTTTGTTTCCCAGAAAACAGGTTTTGACCCTTTCCTAAAAATATACCTCTTTCGAGTTGTTACTTAGTTGTGAGAATAAACCTGATTAGCCAAAGTATTTTCATGAGATTATACGAAGAATGATAATTTTAAAAATGTTTGGAACTTCGGCATNCTACTCTTTAAGATTAAGTACTGTGTATCTCAAAAACCAGAGCTAATAAAAATTTTTCATTGTTATTTTCGTTTTTATCACCCCAAAATTAGTAGAAATTGACTAATTTAGTGAAAGAAACATTCAAAAAATATTTTTTTGTTGTGTTGTGTTATTATTGTATCAAGCGTTGATTACATTTTACAGTTTTCTGTCCAATTCGATTGTTCACCAAAGATACTCTAAGTTATGTTCTTCCATCTGATTTCAATCGAGGTCAATTTTTTCTTTGTTCAAATCCAAATTATTGTTGTGACAATGAAATATTATTGTGACAATGAAAAATTGAACGAGTAGAAACTAATATTATTTTCCTATTTCAAGTTCACATTACTTATAAAAAATGAGATATTACTTGTAACCGACTGACAACTTTCGAAACATATTTGCGACATTGAGTTCAAGGTATGTTACAAAATAATTCATTCCTGAATGTATATATGTATGGATTATCCTTACGAACCCCAGCTAAGTTTATCAACTGCTCGGGAAGGTGTATTAAAGAGAGAGACGATGTTCTCCAGATGTCATTTTTATAAACATGCCGAGAGAGGTAGAACCTTCACATAGTTTTTTGCAATAGTGCAAAGTTTTAACTTGATATAGGGTCTTTCATTAAGCGCTTTCTATCTTTACATTCGAGTAGAACAAAGTATGTGTGGAAATTTTTCATTCGTTAGAAAGAACTGTTGATGCCATTATGTGTGGAATATAACATCGTTCAAATGTCCCCCACAGCTCCTCTGGGTAGAGCGCATCCGAAATATCCAATTTTCCATGACTGTGGCACATAAATCAGGCTGAGTTTGACCGATGACATTGGTTATGTTGGGTTTGAGGACTGCTGTATTTTGTGGCTCATTCACATACACCTACGACTTAAGAAAACCACACAAGAAAAAGTCTAAAGGGGTCAAATCGTACCATCTCGGTGGCCAGTTTACATCACTTCGACTTTGCCTTCAAATCGCTCGTGCAGAATATCTAATGTTGCATGAGCTGTGTGGCACGTAACTTCTTTCTGTTGAAACCACATGCCGTTGGTGTCCAGATCATCTAATTCAGGACAAAAAAAGTTGGTTATCATCGACCTGTAGTGCTATCCGCTGACAGTGATTGCTTGGCCAACGTCGTTCTTAAAGAAATATGTACCAGTGATGCCGCCAGTCCAATATTCACACCAAACAATGACTTTTTCGAAATGCATCAGACACTCTTGAATCTCATGTCGATTCTGTTTGTTCACGACCCATTCATCCAGAAATGGGCCTCATCGTGCTGAAGATGATGTTTCGATATAAATTAGGGTCAGTTGCCAACTGCTCCAGAGCCCATTCAGCGAACACACGTCATTGTCTATGGTACTTTACCTTCAGTTCCTGAATCACTTAAATTTCCTACGAATGCAGGTACAAGTCACGACACAAAATTCGCCAAGTTATGGTCTGTGAAAGGCCGAATTCTTGTGAGCGACGCGAAATCGACTGCGATTCTCCTGCACACTCTCACAGACAGCGGTGATGTTTTCGGCAGAATTTCCATTTCGTCGCTGTACGGGTGTTGGCCGATCGTTTTCTGAACCAGTGGACTCAAATTCATCCACCACATTGCGAATAGTCCTCTCGGTAGGACGATTATGGCAACCGTGAAATGAGCGGAGCGCACGGTATGTTGCCCGAACAGAACACCCATTTTGATGAAACAAATTTATTATATGCACGTGTTGTTGACTGCTATATCCGTTCATGGTGATTTGGCACTACATGAAAACTAATTTGACAGATGTAGCGTTAACAAGATGACCGTTCCAATTGTCAAAGTTCGGAAGTCCCTGTTGGAAGACCCTATATATTAGACGGCCATTTTAAATATTGTCGTTGGTCTTACCATTCTAGAGTAGGTGACTAGAAGGAGTTGCCAATTTGGAAACACTTTCGAATCCAACATTGGCAATAATACAAAAATCGCCAAAATTTTCGGACCCCCTTATGTTTGTCCGAATGAATCACTATTATTATGAGTCAAGAAGTGTATTACAAAATACATTCAATTTGGTTATGTAACCAATGCAAATTGAACAATTGACAAACTCACATAGGTTATGTTTACTACTTAAGAACAGCTGATGAGAGGGGTGTTATGTAAACAAACATGTGTACCAACTGTTGGTGATGAAATATTTCATTTGTTGAAAACTCAATATACATAATATATATAATATAATGATACTATATCTTGAAAACAAGAGCTAATATATTATTTTTATGGTCACTTTCGGTTTTAACACGTGGAAATACATTAAAATCATCTAATTTCAACCCCGAAACAAAAACTTTGTTGTGTTGTGTAATGGCCTTAAAACCCTTCTCTGCGGAATACTATGGTCCTTTGTTTGAAGGTGGTTGACAATGTTTCATGGTGCACTTCATTAGTTCGGACTTCCATTGTCTAATATCTGTGAAAAATCTGTGAAAAAAATTAAAAAGGTTAGTTGAAAAATAACAATTATATTAAGCAAAAAACTGAAAGTACATACCAGTAGAGGATTGTCGGAAAGAATGAAAAGGATTGTGTCCAAGTATAACATCAGAACCTGATTCAGATCTGGGAACACTATCCGTAGCAGCCTCACGAAAACCAGGCCACCAAATGCAGACTGCGATTCCAAGAATTGCATTTACCGGATATCCTGCGAGTGCGGAGAATCATACATCGGTGAATCTAAGAGGCTATTGAAAGTTCGCATTGCCGAGCAATGTACACAGTGAGGAGAAACCAGCAAATCAGGAATAGCAACATAACATCAAGTGGTCTCAAGCTGAATTCATGCACAAGGAGGAACACTGGTATAGGAGAAAATTCAAAGAAGCCGCATTTATGTTGTCTAACAACGCATTTAGTCAAGCTACCGTAGAGATACGCAACATGTGGAAACCTCTAATCAAGCGGAACACTACCAACTTCCGCCAAACGATCAGCTTCCGCTAAAACCGATGAAGCGGAGAGGGGGAAGAGGGGATAGGTGAAAGCACTCGAATGACCTATAAATAGTGAGATCTCTGAAGATTAAGTCCAGTTACCCGAAGACGATTGTGGATACTAACAATCGAAACGTCGTGAAGTAACTTGGTTTGGAATCTTTTAATTTTCAATATTCATTTCCTGTTAATAATTTTTTAATTTTCATCTCGTGTTGATAGTTCAATTTTTTTATTTTTTGGTTGTTGCTTGTATTTTATTTCATTGTAATGCCATGGTCCTTATCACTACTATGAATGAAAGGTAGAAATGGAACCTCTGGCGTTGAATGATTCCAAAACAAGTACTATTCCCAAACACTAGAACTGCAACACACTTGTCGGCGCGCATGTTTTGGAACTATTATGGATGTTAAATTTCGGTCTCGATTTTAGTTTTTTAAATTTTGAATTAGCAGTTATCTATAATAATTAGTCCTTTGTGAAACCAACACTTTCTAATTTTTTATTTTCCAATCAATAGTTATGAGTGCTTTCGAATAATATAGGGCTGTTACTTCCTGGTTTTAGTTTTAATCGTGTTTCACAGATACGTTTTCCATTTATATCAATACAAATACTCCAAAATAAGTCTAGGTATAGTCATGATGAAGCTGCATATTCAGTTATTGTTTAATTTGTGTCAATAATTACCTTCAGCTGAGTATGTTAATCATTTGAGTAAATGTGCCTGTTCGTACTAATCATACACGCACATCAGTATGTAAATTTTCAATTTGAGAAATTGTTAACCATGAATTCTAACCGTTACAGATCTCTCTCTACAGTTAGTTTGGTAGTGATAAGTGAATCTAATGGATCTGATTTATCTTCAATGTTGCACCAAGATATCTGCGGTACCAAAAATTTTCATTCCAGTACACAACATATGTCAAGTGAATAAATATTTCTCTGGGGTGTGAATAATAACAAACTTTGATCTCNTCCAACTCAACAATTACCGACTCAACATCCACCGACACCTTTCACAACTAACGTTATACCTTACATTCCAAGACTATCTGAAAAAATAAGACGAATTGGAAATAGGTATGATGTTAGAACTACTTTCAAATACACTGAGATCTATACTCACACATACAAAACCCAACAACACTGAAGAAAAAACAAAAAATTGTGTTTATGAAATACCTTGTTCTTGTGGTAAAAGTTACATTGGTGAAACCTCGAGACTATTGAAAGTGCGTGAGAATGAACAACGAGATTACATAAAAAATAGACAATTGACAGGATCAAAATTGTCAGAACACATTTTAAAATCAGATGGTGAACATCGAGTGGAATGGAATAGGACAACAATAATTACTAATGAACCTCATTCTAAGAGACGTAAGCTGAAAGAATCAGCGTATATTCTCATGTTTGGAGAGAACTGTATTTCGAATAGCTTCTTAGAAATAGACCGTACTTGGCGCTACCCATCTTGAAAAAAAAATTGGATAGTGGCGAAATGGCAACAGACTGATATCGGAGAGTACCTTGTATTACATCGAAAGTTTCAGTTGTCAATCAACAACATTGACATAATTTCATATTTCAAAACTCCTTTGACATCTGCCGAAGAAGTAAATAAATAAACAATCAAAAAGGAATAACTGCGAATATATAGAATTTTTTTGTCCATTTCTGAAGTATTGCATTATTCCTTAACAATTTTTTTGATAGACAAAATTGTTGAATACGACAAGTTACTGATGAATAGAAGATTTTTCTTTGTGAAAAATACTTTGATTTTTACGCAGTAACTCATCGGGATAAACTAAAAAGTTTGCCCTTCTACACTCGTATAAAGTTCTCCATTATAATTTTTGGTAAATTTTCGTTTTGAGGGCACCCAGCGATTTTGAAAAAATTTTTGAGTGTACTTACGTATTTTGTTGCGTAGATTACGAATCCGAAAGAAAAAAGCGGTGCTCTCCCTTATTTACAAAGTTCAGAAAAGGGAAACTTTTCAGCCTTCTTTTTCACAAAATAAACTGTTTAAAAACTCAAGCATTTATTCACTAGGTCACCTTTACACCTTATTCATCATTTTTTGACACTTTTCACTTCAATAATCAACATTTTTCTTATAAAAAACTTAATTTAAAAACGAATGCTTCTCCTGGTGACATTCTTCTATTTCTAGGTTAGTTACTAGTGACATTTCAGAAAAAAGCGGTTGGTATTTGCCGCCGCCTCAGAGCCGAGGAGCTATGGTGCGAT